GATGAGGAGGAACAGAGGAACATTCGAGGCCTGCCTCCCTCCGCGTCACTCCTCGGGGGGAAAAAGGAAGAGGGAAATTCCGGACCTTTCCCTGGAACAGGCGTCTCATCTTGAACTGTTTTTTGGCCCCGGGTCCCGGCGATAACCCCCAAAGGCCGAAAACTATGATGATTATTCGCTGCGTGGAGCTCCCCATATGTGCATATGTTCGCATGGACCTGTCCGCCGTGAATGTCTAGGCGCCAGAGCGTTCGAATATAAACGGGTTTCAGTTGTGACGGTCTGGACATGAATCTAACTGCGAATGAATTGGAGTGCGTCTCTGCGCATGAGCCTGGGGCCTCCTGGGGCCTGCTGAAACCTACTGGGGCTTCCTGGGGTCTCCAGGAGCCTCTTGGGGCCTTCTGGGACCTCCTAGGGAGAATTCGTGCCCCAGGAGAGGCCCAATCTATAGCAACAGGGGTACATACAACACTGCGGATGAGAGCCACAGGAGAAGGGCAATGTATAGGAACGCGCGCAAAACACCAAAGAGTCGTGCCCCATAAGACGCCCAAGATATAGGAACATACGTAAAACATGTAGGATCGCTGTGTACACAGGAGAAGGACAATCTATATAAACATACGTATAACATCAATGAATCGTGCTCCAAGTGAGGCCCAATCGATGGGACAATACGTAAAACACATAGGATTGGAGCCACTCCTGTTGCCTTCTGAGGCCTCCTGCTCCTGGGGCCTCTCGGGGCCTCCTGTTGCCTTCCGAAGCCTCCTGGCGCTTCACCTGGGGCCTCCCGTTGCTTCCTGAGGCCTTCACGAGCTTCCTGGGGCCTCCTGGAGCCTCTTGGGACATCCTGTGACCTCTGGAGTTGCAGTCTTTATTTCCTCAGAGGACTAGTTACGTCTGACGAAATTCGTTCTGGTCGCAAGATGCCCGACATGGACGAAACATGAAAGTGCAAAAAGGTGTAACATCAATGTAATAAATTTGCAACATTTCCGCATGCGGAAATATACGCAAGGTTGCTATTCCGGAAAGGCCTTCAATGCTCGGCTTAGAGCGCTGCTGCCTCCTGCCAAACAACTCCTGGAGTGCGTTGCTGCCCGGGGGTGCTAGCCGCGCGGGCTCGAGGAAATGAACCCATCAATCATAATATATTGTGTCACTGTTTATAAGGGAGGAGGAAGCAGGAAAATAAATTGAATGTATAAATTGAGCACAGGGGTCAGAAGAAGAATTTGAATGTATGAATTGAGCACAGGGGTCTTCCCTCACAGAAGGGCGGAGAGGCATGCGTCATAGGTTTCGCCGCGTAGGGTCGATAAGCCATTGGGCCTCGCGGGTCTGCCCGTCACAAGAGTCCGCTTGTCAGAATCTAGAGTCCGCCTATAAGAGTCCGCCCGTGGCCGCCACCCCGCTTTTTACTTTTTGAGGGACGTGCTCCCCCCCCCCCCCCCCCCCCTCACCAGGGCACCGGGAAGGGGGGTGCTGGGCTGCTGGCCCCGAAGATATAACCCATGTGGCAGGCTCGCGGAAAGGCAAAGCCGTCGCGTGTCATCTGCGCGGCCTCTGTTCCCCCGCGTCCTCGCCCTCCTCTTCCTCCTCCTCCTCCTCCTCCTCCTCCTCCTCCTCCTCCTCCTCCTCCTCCTAATCCATTTCCCCAAATTAAACTGAAACTTTATATTGTCTGAAACAGGCCATCTTGGGTGACATCACATGCCCTGCCCTGTGTTGTCGCCGCCACTCGCCGCCACTCCTGGGTGACATCACATGCCCTGCCCTGTGTTGTCGCCGCGTCCTGGGTGACATCAGATACCCTCGATGCATTTTCTCTCACCGCAAAGGGATCGCTGCGTCTTATAAGAAGCGAATCACCGTCGCCGCACCTCGCCCTAGCGCCCCCTACTCCCCGCCACCGCGGGTCACCAAGGGATGATTTTCACGACCACAAGCCTGTCCAGGGAGCTTGCTGACCCTGACCTCGCGCACCCCATTTCCCTCCCTTGCCGCGATTGTCGCGCGGCTCGCCGCCGCCGCGGCCTTGGGCGCCCGCGCCTTTCTGCTGCCCATGCTCTTTCCCCTTTCCTTTTGCGCCCTGCGTGGACTGCCTCCTTTCCCAGGTCCAACCGCGCCTGTCCGCGTTAGCCGCCCGCTTCGCCTGCGCTTGCGCAGTCCGCCGCACGTCAGCAGGCCCGCCCACGTAGATCATCAAGGGCATGTGTGCTCCACGTTTGAACATCTCTCGCTGGGGGTCGAACTTCTCGAACTGGACTGGCTTCTGTTTCGACGGCGGGGTTCCAGACCAGCTCCGCGAAGCGGACCCCGTGTCGGAGTTCACTCTGAACGGGAACATCGCCTTGTCATTCTTCGCGCTGTCCAAGACCTCCGCCACCGCGGGTGAGACCTCGTCGAAGACAGGCGTGAAAGACCACTGAACGCACTTGCCCCTGCGTGCGGCACCTGCGGGTGGTAGCTGGTGTACGGGAACCCCTGGCCTAGAAAAGGGATGTTCGTGATGGGGTAGGGGCGTTTACCCGTCTCTCTGCCGTCCTGGTCGCGAAGGGTCTCCATAACCATGGGGCAATTCGCAGGCAGGTCGGGCCCCTCGATCCCGAACGCAGAGAGACCGCGGCACATCCGAATCCCTTCGCACGGCCCTACGCGGAAGATGCCACACGAGTCGGCTCGGACAAACCTTTCGCGCTGCTGTTGCCAAGGATACCACGCTGCCAGATTGATCTGGAAGCCGCGCGCCCGCAGTTCCGGCACAACAAGGAAGAGCGCCATGTTGAAGTCCCCGCAGAGAATGCGGGGGCGGAGCTCGGCCAAGTACCTCGCCAGCATGCAACTCTTTCTTCGCCGTCTTGTAGTTCAAGTGCACGTTGGCGAACCTGAGCTCATCGAAGTCCTGGTCATCAGAATCGGCTTCTCCGCTACCGCGGATTCTCCAAAATCGCATCTTTGCAGATGCAATCATGATCCTGCTAACCGCGGTCTTCGTGACCTTGGTCTTCGCTTTGTCCTTCTTCGTGTGCGTGCATGTTCCATCCTTTGTCCGATGGAACACTAGCAGCCGCATCCCCGACACCAGGGACTCCCTGCCGCATATCATAGTGCTGTCGCCCTCCTCTGGGCCTCGCACACCTATGAACTTGGCTGCAGGCCGCTGCGCGCCCTTGGCGCTGTCTCCGCCCTTCCCTGGGTCTTGTCTCACGTAGTCCAGCAGGTCGCTAGAAGCTTCCTGGATGACTAGGAACTGGCAGGAAGAGCTTTTTCAGATCTTGTTGCATGTGCGCATGCAGTTCTGGAACGGTCCACTTCCCGCCCCAGTTGGCGGTCAAGACGCCAGAGGTGCCTCCATGGCTACTGCCTTTGCCACCCTTTCCCTTCGCACCCTCCCCACCACCGCGGGTGTCAACCGTCCAAACATCAGCAGAGCACTCCGTCCCGTCATCCCACAGGGGCTTCAGCAGGAGGTCTGCGCCCGGTGGGATGTCATCCAGATCTCCTGGCATGCCAGATGCGTCCGTCGGCGCATAAGTGGGCAAGCTTCTGGGGGTTGCGCGGTCATCGTCATCTGCATCGCGGCCAGCGGAGCCCCCTGAGGAAGCTCCATGACCATGGAGGCGAGCGAGCTCTAAGGCGGGCATGCTTGAGCCGCGACAGCAACTGTAATGACGATAGTTAGGGTCTCTGCATGTCGCTGCTGGAATAATTACATGAATGAGGCGAGGGCGAGGGCGCGCAGGAGGGTGGCGGGGAGGAAAGGAGGGGGGGAGGAAGGGATGTAACCTAATTGGGGTCTTCTATTGTTGCGGGGACCGGGGTCCCCAATGGTTCGGGAAGGCAGGGGGGGTCGAGAGCAGCGAGGAGTCCCGGGGGGGGCCCTCGCGGAGCAGATTTTTTTCGGTGACGCTCCAGAGGCCAGCAGCACTCGGCAGCACCAGCGCGCTCCGCCACCGCGGAGACGCCTCGCCGGTCACAGCGGCATCGCCGCCGCCGCGGAGGAATGTCTAAGCGCGGGTAATGCCCGGCAAAATCAGGGCAGGCGCATCGCCTAACACGCGTCTGGTCTCATTGTGCATGAACTGAGACAGCGCATCTTTTCGACCCTCCTGCAGGTCTGCGCCCAGTCCTCGCCGTGGGTCGCAGCCATCCGACTGTCCCATTCCGTCTTGAAGAACTCCCATTGGCTCGTTTGCTCAGGTGACAGTTCGGCAGCTTTCCGAAGAGCTTGTAATACCTGGAAGCGCGCTTTTTGGTGCTCCTTATTACCGCCTTTTTTGTTCCCTTGCCCCAGCTGCTCCAAGGAGTAAACTCTCATCTGCTCCATCGCCGTCACCACGGCTTCGGCCTCTCTGTTCCTTGCGGATCTTCTTGGGCTTCTCCGTCGCCTCGCGCAACTCACGCTTGACGCGCGCCTTTTCTTTCTCCGCCGACATCTGCTCTTTAAACGCAAGCCTGGCGCGGCGAGCCTCAGCCTCCTCATCTTGCAATGCTGCCTGCAATTTGTCGTGAACCATCGGGTCCTCCTGGGAGAGCGCCTTGTGCCGCTTGGTTTCCCTGTGCAGAACTGACGTCACAGTGAGAGCAAGAGACGCACCCACCTGAGTGTTCATGTTGCGAAATATATGTAGGGCCTCCTGTAAAGATCTCATCCTGGACGACTCCTGACTCATACGTTCCGCCTGCTGGTCGTCCAAGGACATACCATGCGCTGCCCTCTCCTCTTTGTCGCCATCACCATGGCTGTTCGGAGCACCTCCGGTCTTCGCAAAATCGATCGCAACTTCACCTGGATCCACCCAGTCTGCCGCGTCGAAATCCAGCACCTCCTCGGTGTCCTCATCGTCGGCGCCGTCGTCCTGATCGTCGGCGTCGTCGTCCGCTTTCGCGGCGCGCTCGTCCTCCTCCTCCTCCTCCTTTCGGGCCTCGTCCGTTTCCCAAGGGACTCTATCTGGGTCCGCGGTGGCTTCGTCTTCCTGGCCAATTTTCACCTCATCTAGGTGGCCCCTGCGAGGGTACGGCGTGATGAGCGACTGCGCAGTCTTGTAGTTCCAAAGCAAAAGGCCAGCAGCGTGCTTCTCCGCAACTTCCGCCACCGCGGAGTCAATGCGGCTTCGCATGCCCATTTCATCCCAGAAGTCTTTGGCCTCTCTGCATATTTGATCATCTTCAGAACCGTCCAATGCGACCGTTGTGCCCGTGAGTTTGTATCCCTTACATGCTTGCACATGGAGAGTCCTATTGGAAATGACCTGTGCCATGATATCGATGTTCTCCTCTTTCGTCAGGTCCACCATGCCGCCGCCACTGATTCGCGCTTTCTCGACAATCCTGGCCGTTTGCAGTTCAATGAACCTCTTGCGAATGTGCAAATGCAGGTCGGTATCATTTGTTTGGCAGACCATAGAAGCCCCACCACCGTGGGTCACGCAGATGTAGCCGCGGGCCCAGCACAAGCGTTGCGCATTATCAGTGAGACCAGGGGCGTACGCATCTAATAGAAACAACTCCCACCGTCTGCCAGGGCCCCACGGTAACAACCACTTCTCTAGGCAATCCGACAGCCCCTCGCGGGGGCACTTGGCGGCGCAGGTGGGCACGGGTTGAGGGGGGCTGGTTCGTTTCAATGAGGTGGAGGGCATGTGGGAAGGGGGGGGGAGGAGGGAGGTGGGCAGATTGGAGGGGGGAGGGGGGAGACAGGGCGGGGGGGGGGCAGAAGGGAGGGCCCACTGCGGCACACGGCGGAGCCAAATGATCGAGGACGTCGTGCACTCGGTACGACCCGCTCGGCCCCGTCGCCACGGAGAACTTGAAGGGCACATGTCTGGATTCCGCGAATGTTTTCAATTTGCCCTCCAGCTGTTTACCCTCTGCCTTGAACATCAATTCGCACCCTGGCACTTCTCGCATAACCCTTTCTCGGCAAGAATCCGTGACCGAATTCAAGCTCCAGCGCTGCCTCGTCGCCGCATGGTTTTCGATCAAGGGTGCTGTGACCGCGCTCGTCAGTGAAAGCGTGTTCCCCTCGCAGCTTCCCGCCTCGTTCATGTGGAATGGAGATTGGTCGACGTTCCGCATTTCTGGGTCGTACCCATGATGCAGCATGACCATCTTCCGTAGTCTCGACACGATGACCCAGGAAAGAGACAGGCGTTCCGCCAAGACCACGCGCGGCACTTTGAATTTACGATTCGGCTTCCGCGAGGAAATCCGGCACTCCCTCATGAAGCCAGCCAACCATCTACCGTTGATCTGCACGGTCTGAGGTGCCGTCTTCTTGTTTAGGTGGACCACATAATACTCTTCCTGTAGTTGCAGCGCTTTCGCCAACAGGACTTTCTTTGGGAAGCGGCACGTGACCTTCACGTCCACGCTGTGCCGCATGATGCTGTACGGCTCGGCCAATTGTTCCCGCAACGTTGCGCACGCCTTGTGTCTGCCAGCGCCCCAACATCTACGTCGCTTGAAGTCCCGAACTGTACAATTCGTCCCTTTTCTGTACTGCCAACCCTTCTGGTCCGGACGGACGGGGCGCTCCGCCACCGCGGATGTCAGGAACTGTTGCACTGCGTGCTGGTATATTCTGAATACTCGCCTGTAATCGACCCAAGCCTTTTTTTTGTCTTTCAGAGCAAGGGGGATTTCTTTTCCCTGGGGCACGGCTAGACCGGTGACCTGGGCGACGGCGGGGTGCTCTGTGGCAAACGCCTTGAACAGACCGCGCGGGAATCTGCCGCGCTGCAATTGAGAAGAGGTCTTTCCGTCCAAGGGCCCTTTGTGCTCCTCCATCCATGCTAGGAAGTATTCCGCGGCCTTTCGCTTCTTAGGGAGGGGTGCGTCGCGGCCCAACAAGAACGTCGGCGCAAGTTTTTTTGTGCGTCTTCGCCTCCCCGTCATCTCGGGTCGCGTGCTCGCGAACCATGGCATTCGCGCACTCATCGGGCAGGCGCTTGAGCATGCCGACAATGATCTCCCGCGCCGCCGTGCGCAGGTCACATTTCCACCTCAAGGCCCGCGCCTCCTCTTCGCTGTAGTGCCTCTCTGCTTGCTGCGGCACCTCTAACAGGGCGCCCTCTGCGCCGCCATCACCATGGCGATGCTCCGTGGGGCGCGCAGCGACCAACGCCGCGCCCGCGGCATCTAACTCGTAGAGCCCCAAATGGTTATCGATCTCTCCCGTGTGCCGCAACATCGCCACGAAAGCTCGATTGCCCGCGTGCTCGAGAATGTAGGCGCACAACTCGCAACGCAGAGCGTCCCGGTTCACGCTGCTGCGGTTCCAGCCGAGCATGAAACACATCACGTCGAGGCCACAATCTCCATCCGTAACTGTTGCAACGAGCTGCACGGAGTGCGACAAGTACTGCGCATAGAAAAAACGGGTCTCCTCGCACATGCTCTCGGCCAGGCTGGCGCCAGCAGGGGCGCCGCCACCATCGAGCGGGAAACCCGCCACCCAATGGTTGGTTCGCAGGGCCTCGTCATCCAACCCGCGGACTGAGCCATCATCTCGGAACGCACAGGAGACAGCATGGCATTTTGCAACCACACTCACAGCATCATTGGCCCACGGAGCATACTTGACCAATGCATCTTCACATGTGTCCCCGTACCAAAGAAAGACGCGCGCGCGATACCGCAACGCAGAAATCACGAACATGGCGATTCCGATGTATCCGCGGGGCTCTTCCATAGCAATTGCGACCCTATTCAACTCTGCTGCCGCCCTCTCGTTGTGCACCCCGCTGGCTGCGACAAGATTCTCGACGGGGTCCACGTCTTCCACGTTTGTGACATCGATGTCGCACCCCGCAACCGCGGGTAGCTGCAGTGGAGGGACCTTCGCTGGCGCGACCGCTGCCGCCGCTTCTGGTGGCCTAGGCGCGGCACAGGGAATGAACAACAACGCGGCCCTTTCAGGCGGCGCGACGACTTCTGCGGATGAGGACGTGACAGCAGGCGGCGGCGCGGGAGCCACCGCTGCTAAGTCCGCCACTGGGGGTTGCAGAGATGGCTGCGGTTGTGGCGGAGGTGGCGCCTCCTCCGCCACTGAGGGTGGCAGAGGTGCCGCCACTGGGGGTGGCAGAGGTGGCTCCGGTTCTTGCGGAGGTGCCGCCACTGGCGGTTGTGGCGGAGGTGCCGCCACTGGGGGTGGCAGAAGTGGCTTCGGTTCTGGCGGAGGCGCCGCCGCTGGCGCTGGCTGCTGCGCTGCTGGCGTTGGCGCTTCGGGCGCCACTGGGGGTGCCAGAGGTGCCGCCACTGGGGGTGGCGGAGCCGCTGCTGCTTCGGGCGGAGGCGCTGCTGCTTCGGGCGCCAACTCCGCTACCGCGGAGGCCGGTGGCGCCGTGCCCGCCCCAGGTGCCGACCCCGCCACAGGTGGTGCATCGAGTAGTCGCACGTGGTTCGGAGGGGACAGGCGACGCCCATATTTAGATGCGGGGTATTTGGCCGAGCACGGAGCAGCGGCGCACACGTGCAAACGGAGACCAGGCGTCCACCCTTTTGAGTCACAAAAGCAACAGGAAGCCCAGCCGTGTACCCCAGCTGGGCGCTTCGTCGGGAGCGAAGGTTTCTGCTCCCATTTGGCCTTGAAGATTTTCCCAGATTCGTCAATCACGCGGAATTCCCCAAGATACTTTGCTACCGTTTCAACGGTGGGCTGGTCAGCCTGCGCGGACATGCGCGCTCGCCGAGGCGCGCCTCGCCACCGCGAGCTGCGCCGCCACCGCAGCGAAATCGCGCCCCGGTGGAAACTGTGACCCTACACAGCGCGCGGCTTTGAAGCATAAACGGCGTTGGAGTCGAGCAAGAGGAGCAAGAATAAGAACGCTCGCGGGTGACCCGGCCGCCGTCGGCCTCCTTAACGAGCCACAGAAAAGTTTCATTCAGTTTTTGGAATTACGGATCGGCTTTTCTATTGTGGACAATACAGGACTCCCCAACGCTTTCGCGGGTGACCCGGCCGCCGTCGGCCTCCTTAAAGAGCCGCAGAAAAGTTTCGTTCAGTTTTTGAACTTACAGGTCGGCTTTTATATTGTGGACAACACAGGACTCCCCAACGCTTTCGCGGGTGACCCGGCCGCCGTCGGCCTCCTTAAAGAGCAGCAGAAAATTTTCATTCAGTTTTTGGAATTACAAGTCGGCTTTTCTATTGTGGACAATACAGGACTCCCCAACGCTTTCGCGGGTGACCCGGCCGCCGTCGGCCTCCTTAAAGAGCCATGGAAAAGTTTCATTCAGTTTTTGGAATTACAGGTAGACTTTTCTATTGTGGGCAATGCAGGAGGCGGAGGAAGATGATGCAAGGGAGGCGTCTTTTCATCGCGCGCGCTTCGGACGAGGCATTCGAGCTGCGTTTGTAACCGCGGGAACTACAAGGGGCAAGCCATGTGTCACTGCGTGCTAAAACGTCCTGCTTGTGGCAACCCCAGCCCTCCATGACCATGGGGCCAAGTGCAGGAGTCTTGAAACCCTGAGTCACGCACTGACGTTTTCTAGGAATGACTTGCCGTCCTTGTTCGCCTGTTCGGAGACCCCCCTGATCTCCCGAGCCCCGTTGCGAGCGCAGGGAACACCATTACCATGGCGTCTCTACGCGCCGCCTGAAGCGCCGCTTGGCCCCGCCGAGTCTGGAGAAACCATCGGGGCGCCCTTCAGCATGTTCTGCACGTATAAGTACCTCACCGCCCAGTCCAGATCGTTCAAATGGAACCAAATCTGCTTGCGATCCTCGATGAAGAGCTTGATCTTGCGGACCTCCTGGCAGAGAGGATCCTGCTCGGGGCACCGCTCGGGCATGCTCACCGTGACCACGGTGTTTTTTTCACGTGGTTCTTGTAGTAGCGGGTGCGCTTTGCACCCTGCACTCCTGCCACCTTGGTGCGGTCTGTGTCGGCCCCGCCGTTCTGGTCGATCTCGGCCATCGGGTCGTAGTCTTCCCCCTGCACCTCCGCCTCTTGGGCGTCTGGCGCCTCCGGCGCTTCGTCGCCGTCGCAGAGCTTCTCCACGTGGGTACGCAGGTCGGCGAGTAACGAGGTGCGCCCAAACGAACTCTGGGAGTACTTCGTCGAGCCCGTTGTAAGGCCGATCAGCCACTGGTCTGTGAAAGCCAACTTCACAAACCTCTCCTCCACCGAGGAGCTTGGAGAGCGAACGACCTTGGAGACGAGAGGCGCAAACTTGCCGCTGTGGCCCCCGCGCACGTGAACCTGACCGAACTGAAACTCGAGGGGCTTGAACTTTGGGAGAGCGAACCCTGCCATTTTCGAGGCTGCTCCGCAACCGCGTAGACGCGGCCGGGGAAATCCGCAACCGCGAAAAGGTCGCGAGTCTCCGCCGCCGTGGATCCAGCTTGAGCCACTGCGGGGGGCCGACGGAACGACACCGTGTGACAACCATCGCCAGGCGATGGTTGTCACCCGGCGATGGTTGTCACCCCAACACCCATGACAACCATCGCCAGGCGATGCTTGTCACCCCAAGACGTTGACAACCATCGCCAGGGGGGGACTTCCGGAGCCCTTCCAGGATAATTCGGCGCCGTCCGGCGGGCAAGGGGGGCGCGGAGAGGAGAGGCGGGCGTCGAGGCAGAGGCGCGGAGGGGAGAGGCGGGCGTCGAGGCAGAGGGCGGCTGCATGCAAATCGCACGTCGAGAGAGAGGAACGTGAAGAGGAGGGGGAGAAAGTGATGCGCAGGAAGAGGAAACATAGCATTTTTCGCGCCGCGCTTGACGCCCTCGCACGGATGCTCGGACACGGCCCTCGCCACCGCGAGTGCTTCTACGACGCCGCCACCGCGGAGAATATGCTCCGCCACCACTTCAGACGCCCTCACTTCCAGTCCGAGCGCCACCCCCACTTCTTCCACTGCTCCTTCTCCTCCGCGGAAGGCTCGGCTGCCGAAGCTGCCCCGCCTGCGGCGGAACTGCTGGCGCCACCGCTGCTGGGCCACTCCCAGCCCTCCCAGTCTCCGCCGCTCTCCTCCCAGTCTCCGCCGCGGGACCAGGCGGGCTCTTGCTCCGCCGCTCTCTTCCACTCGCTGCTCCACCAGTCTGCGCCGCTCCACGCACCGTCCGCGCGCGAGGCGGGCTCCTGCTTCGCCTCCCACCAGGCCGCCTTCGCCTCCCACCAGGCCTCCCACGAGGCTGCCTGCTGAGCCCCCTCTCCTGCAGCGGCGCGCGACGGAGGTCCCGAAGCGTCGGCCTGCGGGGGGGCCTCTGGCTGGCCCAACTCCGCCACCGCGGATCCCTGAGGGGCTGGCCCAACTCCGCCACCGCGGATCCCTGAGCCAGTACCGCGGTAGGACTGCTCGTAGTTCCCTGTCGTCTTGTTCTTGTACGTGCCTTTGCCGTCCGTCTTGCCTTTCCCCGCCCTTGGCGGCCCAGGCAGGACGAGGCCACTGTCGACAGTGGCTACCTCCACTTTGTTGTTCGTGAGGCTGGTGTGGAACCTGGTGACGACGTTGTCCGTGCGGTGCACGTGGTAGTCCCAGATCGGAACGGGAGCTCCTTCGGCGAAAGGCCTTCCCATGGCACGCGCGGCGTGCCAGCGCTTGTGGTCGTGCCCGCCTATGGCCTCGCACGTGATGCGCGTGACGCCCACCGAGGGATCAGGTCCCAGAACTCTGTCCTTCACCTCTGGTTTGAAGGCTGCCAACATTTGCCGCCATGACCATGGCTGCGTCTGTCCGACCTTGAAACTGTATGCCATTCCCGAGGTGCGGTCGAGCACTCCTATGTCCATGGGGTCCACTTCGGTGATGTCGACCTGGTGCGTTGTTGGAAAGCCTGGGGGGTTCTCTGAGGTGTCCCTGATCCACTTCAGAGCGGTGTTGTTCCTGTTGAACGGCTGCGTCACGGGAAGCGCGTCCAGGTCTGCTCGCGTCGCCGCCACCGCGGCTTGAGCACCGCCTCCCGCCGCCACCGCGGCTGGAGCGCCACCTCCCGCCGCCGCCGCGGCTGGCTCCAGCCCTGGCGGGATACCAAGTCCTGCAGGCCGTGGCTCCGCCATCGCGTCTTCTTGGGGGCTCTCGGCCCAGGTCGCCAAGCCGTCGGGCGGCGGAGCCCAGGGGCGGCGCCTTGCCGAGCGGGCCCTGGGGCCCCGGGTGTTGGTTCGTTTGTCGTGAGCTCTGGCGAGCTCCGCGCGGGCCTCGTTGGCGCCACCCGCGAAAAGTCGCTCTTGGGCCGACATGGCTGCGTCGGAGGAGAACAGAATCGTTCGTCGCCGCCGCCGCCGTGTCGGTCGCCGCCGCCGCCGTGTCGTCGCCGCCGCCTCAGGGAGAGGCAACGTAATCCCCCCAGTCTGTGTCGGAATCGTCTTCTGGGTCCGTGATCGCCATTCTGCACCGCCGCAGAACTCGACCCCAATCGGGAATAACGAATCCTCCCGGGAATAGGGTTGAGAGAACGAGGCCGAACACGGTCCGATATCGCGGCGCCATCCGCCGAGCCCACGAACAAGTCCGAGCATCGACAGCAGCAACCCGAATGAAGGCCTCCCTATCTCGGGCGGCAAGCGTTTCCTCATCGTCGCAATGTGAGATTGTTGCTTCCCCTCGCGGGAACAAGCCCGCCATGTGCGATATGCAAGACTCGAGCTGAAAAGCGCTCTGGTAAGAGTACGAGTACGAGTACGAGTAAGAGTAAGAGAAAGAGTAAGAGTGAGACTCAGGGTGATTAAGAGTAATAGTACGCGTACGGGTAAGAGTCAGAGTCAGAGTAAGAGTAAGAGTAAGAGTACGTAAAGGTAAGAGTACAAGTAAGAGTAAGAGTACGAGTGAGAGTATAACGTAAAGGTAAGAGTACGAGTACGAGTAAGAGCAATATTAAGAGTAAGAGTAAGA